TCTTAAACCAAGGACAGAAAAACAAGTGGTTGAAATGCCAGTGTAGGAGATGCAGCTGGGGCTTGAACCTAGCATGCATGTCACTAACTTACTGAGCAACAGGTGCCGGGAAGAGGGGAAAGACATTGGGCCTCTCTGAGCCTCAGAGGAAAGGGACAAGCGACTCTGGGGGATTTACTCACAGGGAACAGGGTGAGCATGGATATGCAAGGCGGACACTCTTGGAATCCAGGTGAATTAGAGCAGGCTAACCCTTATAGTAACAGGTTTTTGATTTTGTGCAAATACTTAATGTATCTGCCAGTGTTCAGCCCTATGCTCGAGATGCTGTGTGGGGTTCAAAGATAAATTAGGCATAGCCCTTGGCCACTGGTTTTTTATTATCTGGGAGTTACAAATACTTGTCATCCGAGAGAGGCTGCGAAGTACTAGAAGAGGACACAGCAAGGGCTTCCCTGGGGGTCCAGCAGTTAAGATTCTGTGCTTCTACTGCAGAAGGCACGAGTTGGGTCTGGTCAGGGAATTAAGATTCTGCCTGCTGCACAGAGCAGCCTAGACAGAAAAGAAAGAAGGAAGAGTACAGAGTACTGAGGAAAATCAGAAAATCCTGAGACATTCCTTCCAGGGGACCCAGAAGGCTCTGTCAAGGTGGAAATGGTTAGGCTGGCCCTGATGGATGGGTCAGATTTCAGCCCTGAGCACATGTGCAAAACCTCAGAGGAGGGCAGGCCCAAGTCACAGGTGGGAAATGGTATACAGTGTGGTTTGTCTGGGACATAAGATACCTTGAAGAGTAGTGATGCCTAAAGAAAAGGTAAGTGGGACCAGAACACGAGGCCTTTGAGTGCCATCTTTGAAAGAAAGCCTTGAAGAGTTTTAAGAGTGTTAAGGTCAAAAAAAAAAAGTGTTAAGGTCATTTAAAATGATGTGTTGAGGTCACTATATATTGATTTGGAAAGGTGTTTATAAGGTGAAAACACTGCAAAATAATATGTACAGTGTAATCCCATTTTTTATTTTGAAATATATGTACACACACACCGCACAGAAGGCAAGGCCCCCAAGGATGTATATTTCATAGTATTATCAATGAAGCTGAGCACTGAAGAACTGATGCTTTTGAACTGTGGTGTTGGAGAAGATTCTTTTTTTTTTTTGGTACATCATGGCTTAAAATACTATTTACTTTTAATTTCACAAATAAACACAGCTGTATTGTTCTGAAAAGCAATGAAAGGCATGCACCTCTACTAGCAGATTTAGCACTTCTGACCAAGTAAGACACCAACTTCTTAAAAAATATGCTTCATGCATTATATTGGACTTTTTTTTAAGATGTAAATTTTAATACATTATTTCTTTTTTGAACTTGAATGGGAACCAGAATGGGATGATCCAGAAGGTGACCTGTGGTGCCTGGGTAAAGTAGTGGTGTTCCGAGGGGTTGGCCCTGGACTCAGGGTTGTTTAGTGTTTTCACCAATCACCTGGCTTTCAGGTGACCGTGATCTTGTTCGTCTTTTTTTGCGATCACCAGATGAAGAAGATCTAGAACGACTTCTCTTTCTGTTCCTCTCAGGAGATGATGATGAACTTGATTCTTTAGAGTCCCTTGGACTGCAAGGAGATCCAACCAGTCCATCCTAAAGGAGATCAGACCTGGTGTTCATTGGAAGGACTGATGTTGAAGCTGAAACTCCAATCCTTGGGCCACCTGATGCAAAGAACTGACTCATTTGAAAAGACCCTGATGCTGGGAAAGATTGAGGGCAGGAGGAGAAGGGGACAACAGAGGATGAGATGGTTGGATGGCATCACCGACTCGATGGACATGGGTTTGGGTGGACTCCGGGAGCTGGTGATGGACAGGGAGGCCTGGCGTGCTGCAGACCATGGGGTTGCAAAGAGTCGGACACGACTGAACGACTGAACTGAACTGAACTGATCTCTGGGTGTTGAGATTTGAAGTTTTTTTCTTGTTTGTTTACATATTTCTTTGCACTACTTTTTTTTTTTTAATTTATCTTTTGACTGTGCCATGTGACTTCCATAATCTTAGTTTCCTGAGAACCTGGGCTCACAGCAGTGAAAGCATGGAGTCTGCTGGACCACCAGGGAAGTTCCCACATTTTTATGTCATTTTTAATTTGTTTTAAATTAAGAGCACATATATGATAGCTGAGGGAAATGATCTAGAACTATAGGAATCAGACAAAACCTGAGACTAAAAGTTATCCATGCAATAATATTTATGATATTCAAATTGAAGGGAACCTCTCAAACATCTAATAATATGGGAGTGGCTAAGCAAACTACTATATATCAACTTGGTAAAATGTTGTTCGGTTGCTAAATTGTGTCCAACTCTTTGCGACCCCATGGATTGCAGCACACCAGGCTTCCTGTCCTTCACTGTCTCTTGGAGTTTGCTCAGATTCATGTCCATCGAGTTGGTGATGATATCTAACCATCTCATCATCTACTGCCCCCTTCTGCCCTCAATCTTTCCCAGACTGAGGGAAAGATCATCAAGGTCTTTTCCAGTGAGTCAGCTCTTCCCATTAGGTTGCCAAAATATTGGAGCTTCAGCTTCAGCATCAGTTCTTCCAATGAATATTAAGGGTTGATTTCCTGGTTTGATCTCCTTGCAGTCCATGGGACTCTCAAGTCTTCTCTAGGACCACAGTTTGATGCTCAGCCTTCTTTATGGTCCAACTCTCATATCCATACATGACTACTAGAAATACATGACTACTAGAAAAACTATAGCTTTGACTATACAGACCTTTGTTGGCAAAGTGGTGTCTTTGCTTTTTTAATACACTGTATTAAAAATGACAGATATGTGGATTGTTCATACTTGGAAGTGAATATGTGAAATGGGTAGAACAAAGAAGAATATCATTAATACATTTCATATTGATTACTGTGTCATGTAATACATTTCATACAGTAAAATGTGTGTAAATATTTAAATGGATTTGGAGAAGGTAGATAGTATTACTAGTGTTTCTATTTTTTCTATTGTGATGAAACAGACATAGGGGCTTCCCATGTGGTTCAGTGGTAAAGAATCCACCTGCCAATGCAGAAGACTCAGGACACGCAGGTTCAATCCTGGATCAGGAAGATCCCCTGGAGGAGGAAATTGCAACACACTCCACTATTCTTGTCTGGAAAAATCCCATGGACAGAGGAGCCTGGTGGGATCACAAAGTCGCACACACATGAGGCACATAACATAAAATTTACCATTTAACCATTTTAAGTTTATGGTTCAGTGGCATTAGGTACAGTCACAGTGTTGTGTGATGATCACCACTGTCCATTTCCAGAACATTTTCATCTCCCCAAGCAGAAACTGGTGCATGCCTGCTTAGTTGCTTCAAGCATGTCCAACTCTTTGTAACCCTGTGGACTATAGCCGCCAGGCTTCTCTGTCTATGGGATTCTCCAGGCAAGAATATTGGAGTGGGTTGCCATGCCTTCTTCCAGGGGATCTTCCCAGTCTAGGATTTGAACCAGTGTCTCTTATGTCCCTTTTATTGGCAGGCAGGTTCTTTACCACTAGCTCCACCTGGGAGCAGAAACTCTGTGCCCATTAAATAATACTACTCCATTCTCTTCGGCTAAGCCCCTGGTAATCTGTTCTATTTTCTGTCCCTATGAATTTGCCTATCCTAGGTACCTCATTTAAATGGAATCATGAAATATTTGTTCTTTTGTGTTGGGTTTTTTTTTTCACATAGCATAATGTTTTGAAGTTTCATTCATGGTATAGCAGGTATTAGAACCTCGTTCCTTTCTGAGACTCTTGTATATGTAGAACACATTGTGTTTATCCATTCATCTGTCAGTGGACACTTGGTTATTTCTACCTCTTGGCTGTTGTGAATAGTGCTGCTATGAACGTGGGTGTACAAATATCTCTTTGAGACCCCCCTTTCAATTCTTTTGTATATATACTGGAAGTGGAATTGCTGGATTGTATGGTAATTCTTTATTTAACTTTTTGAGGAACTGCCAACCTGTTAGTGTCTTCTTAATATAAAGCTCTTCAAGTTTATTTATATCTACAGTACCCAGTTCCTTTTGCTGTGATTAATGCACACATGAATTATCAAGAGATTAGTACAGATATGAAAGCATTTTGCTTTGTTTAAAGGGAAGAATTTTACAGAGCTTAAGGCCATAGTGTGTTTTGAATATGGTTGGGGGAGACATGGTCAACTCAGATAACTGGAAGTTACAGATGATTCTACAACTCTTAGATTTTATCAACAGTTTCAACTTTTACCTTCTCCCAGAAAGGTTTAATCAAGGTAAAAATAAAATGGGTGGGCTTATAATTGGTTTTTTGTTCTATAATTTATTTTTGTTCTATTTAGCCAGGGGTCAGAGACAGAGGAGAGAACCAAAAGGCTGGGGTATCCTCCTCGATCCTGGATAGATGAAAGTAGTTACATCATTCTGTTTGTCTCAGTCACCTAGGTTCCCCAGAGCTAATGGTCTTGAAGGAAGTAGGAAGTGTCCTTCAGTTAATCGGGTTGATTTTGTGCATAGGAGCCCTGCAATCAGAAATGCAAGGGAGAAGAAGGCAGAAAACAAAAGATGAAGGAAAACTTGGTTTTTGTCCACTTCCAGCAATCCAGTTCTTTTTTTATTGATGGGAAACAGACCTCTCTCAGGAAACTCAGTGTGGAGACCTGGAGTTCACAGTTCGTAGTCCGTTAGGAACAGGAGAAAGAGGACGTATATAAAGTAATCCCTCGTTGAGAGGGACATGGTGTAAATTGTTTCCAGTGACAAAGACCAGCTGGTTAAGTCAGGAGAGCTTTGGTCAAGCTGTATGTGCTTTTAAGGGCTGCTTCGGATTCCTGTAGGAGGGAAGTGAGTGAAGATGCAGCAGTTCAGCCAGGCTTCCTAAAAGAGAGATGGTCGATTACCACGTCTGCTTCTTCCATGCTGACCTCTAGGTGTACGGGCTGTGCTCTCTTCCAGCCAGCGTCCCATGTTCTGTGGCCCCAGAAAAACCAGTGTGTAGGCCTCAGCCACCCCAGGTCCGACGTACATTCTCCTTGGACACCATCCTCAGCTCCTACCTTCTGGGCCAGTGGCCACGAGATGCGGATGGGGCCTTCACCTGCTGTACCAATGACAAGGCCACCCAGGTAACGAAGCTCTCTCTAATGGGGTGAGGGGTAAGGATGGGGTGGTGGGGTGACTGAGAAGGTCTTGGGTCTACTTATCAACCCTCAATCATTGACATGACTTGTCCTCGGTTTCAGCTATACATATTCACTATACATGAAAAGCTATATACATATAATTTTTCATCATCTCATGTTTACCAGCTTGGTTGGTTCTCTTTGTAAATTTACCTGAAAATGAGTTTGCATTCCACCTGTTGGGAGAAAGAAGGCAATTTGGCAAACCATTTGTCTTTGAGTATTCATTTGTAGATCTACAAGAGTTGATTTTGGAATTTATTCTAGATTTTAATAAATGAGATTTACCTTGCTAAAACAAGCCAACATTCAGCTGAGTATGCATTCCCCAGACAACTGGAAGAGGTGGCCAAAATGTGTGTTGAGCCAGGATATATCCTACTGGAGCAACAGGAGTGGAAAGTTCTCAGATAATGGAGAGTTGATCCTCAGTCAGCAGCCCTATCTGGGATTTTAGGGGACCCATTTGAGTCCTCTGGAGCCCAGGTCCTCTCTTCAGGGTGTTTTCTTTTCATTGAGAATCCTAAACTTAGAAGGAATCTCCACAATCATCTGGTTCATTGGTCAGTTTTTGAATAAAGTAGTATTAGCCTGAGCAAGAAGTTGTCTCGTGTGAAATTATACAAAGATATTTCTTAGTCGGACTGAGGACTTTGACATTCTCAGCAGTTTAAGTTTTTAAGAATCAAATCTTCTCCCTTTGATGCAGTTTAAGCCCATTCCTGTTCAACTTCAGGACAAATGAGTTGTTCTCAGGAAAGAGGAAACAGGGTGGGGAGAACACAGGCTCAGAGGCGAGGCAGCCCACGTCCTGGGGGATGCTGGGCCAGTTGCTCTTCCTTTGCAGTCGCTGGAGTATGCCCATCCCACCTGATCAGAGGTGGGGTGCTGGCCAAGTGGGAAAGGCTTTTGTGTGCTCACTTCCCCTGTCTCCTCTGTTGAGCACATCTCATCAGTCCCTTTTATTTATTTTTTAAATGAGATCCATTTTCAAATGTTATTAGTGAATGTTTGAATGCCCAGTGCTGTTCTTGGCATGTCAGAGTGAAGAACAAGGAAATGAGAACAAGGTTTGGCCTTGGTGAGTCTGGATGCCAGTTCCATGAAGGCCAGTAAACCGGGAGCCAAGGGATGAGATGGGGCCAAGTATCTGGCACAGTTTACAGGAGGGACATTCTCACAGGAATACGCCACCTTGGAGCAACAAAAGTTTGCAGTTAAAATCGATGGCCCTTTTTAGATCTAGGAATGGACTGTAAAGCATGCTCAAATAGGCCTACTCCCTGGGAGCCCTGGACACTGTTGTTCCCTGTGTCCCCTGAAAAGGGCAAGTAGTTTAGGTTATGCTTCCCCATCACAGGCCTGGAGCACACATCCCTTTCTCTTTTGAGAGAATGGTTAGTCCAAGTAACGTGTCTAGTCATGGAGGGCTTCTTGGAGGAGCAGGACTTGAGGTTGCTTCAGATGTGCTCATGATTACACCCGCTTCATCAGACAGCAGGCTTCCACACACCCCATCTTTCCCTGAATCCCCATCTCTGTCATTTCCTGCTCTCCGCCTTCTAGGAAGCCTCCATCCCACTCCTCAGATGGCGTTCTCTTTGTCAACTCAGAGCAGGGTTGGCCTCAGATGTTCCCTGGCCGGATTTAGAGGCATGGGCTCTAGGCTGTGTGTTTTTGCTCAGGCTCCAGCTGCAGGCCAGATCTTTTATATAACAAGTCTGGGCTTCTTGCCACAGCAAGACAGAGGTCAGCGATGCGCCTCCATGGGTCTGGCAAGGCTGAGCTCTGCAGCTTTCCTCTTTCCCTGGGATCGGCTCCAGCCCTCGAGGAACTCTTAGCAACCTGTCAATATTGTGGCTGCAGTGAGGAGGTGGGAGAATTCTGATCAACATAGGCATCCAAACCCAAGTATGTGCTCGGCCCGTCTTTCATTCCTGGCCTTCTGGGAGTTCTCTGCTTCTAGGTTTTGGGCTCCATTCAAATTCCTGTTTAAGCACCCTGGCCTGGCACAAGCTACCTTCTTCAACATTGGGGTTACACCAGGAACACAAGCCTCTCCTGACATCTCCCAAAGTAACTGGTACTCCTTCCCTACAGAGCACAGCTACATCACCTAGAAAGGACTGGAGATGGGGGAGAGGATACGGGGGAGATACAAGGGGTGTAGTGAAGAGTGGAGGGAAGGTAGCGAGGCCAGACCTACCAAAATTCTTGAAAGCTTTCAGTTTAGTTCAGTCCGACTCTTTGTGACCCCATGGACTGCAGCAGTTGCTAAAAATAGATGATGCCAGCACCTTTTCCTAATTCCTTTGAGCCTGAGGGGGGACAGCCCACCGCTCCCCCACCTCCTGTGCTCTGTCTTCTAGCCACACCAGGGTAGTACTTCCACCACATCTGGAAGGCCCTCTCTTCTGCTCTATTAGTTGTGCCGCCAACCCCTGCCTCCACCCCTCCTCATGCATCCCTCCAGCCGGCCACCAGAGTGTGTGTTTGAAGACCTCATCACCCTGGGGCAGGACTCGCAATGAGGACAGCAGCCACAGTCATGGGGTAGGCCGAGCAGCTCAGCTCCCCTCTCCAAACCCCTGGAGCGGGCAAGAGCCCTGCAAGTTTCACATGAGAACACACTGTCCTCAAGGCTTCTCCCAAGGCAGAAGATGGAGTTAAAGTTCTCAGTTCTTGAAGGTGGCAGGTTGCAAACAGTCCCACTATTCTCTCCTTGGGCTTAGCTATGTTTTAAGCCCTTAGGAAAGCACAAAGGAAGCATGGGTGGTTCCCAGGCAACTTGTCTGATATAGAGAGCTGGCTTACCCAGATATTTGGGGCAAGTGAGGAAGAGAGGTGGGTGGACCTTATTTGATTCTTCTAAGGGTGTGTGAATGTGGTCATCTGGGAAGGAGGGCTTTGGAGCTGCTCATGTTCTGAGCCAGGGTGCGCATCAGGAGCAAGAGGACCAGATCTCCCAGAGGTCAGCATGGTGGGTATAAGGAAGAACTTGGGTGCAGTGGGTGTTGGACACAGAAGACACAATCAGTGAGGACTGGGAAGGTTCCTCTGTGGCATCACCATCATCTGGAGGTGTCTTTCTGTCTCGGAAAACTGTGCCAGGATTGTCCAGGTCATTCTGCCCTCCCACAGGTCAGCTGGTCACTCAGAGCTGGCCACCAAGTACTGTGGCCAGTCCCTCCTAGCACTGGGCCTGGGCGGGTGGTGGCAGCACATTCTGGTGGTGGTAATCGCCCCCTCCCTTCTTTCTGGGAGTCTTCTGAAGGGAGGAAGTGGTCTTACCACAGTGGGATGACTGTTGGAGCCACTGGTGTTCTCATCCTGCAGACAGATGCAACCCTGGGTGCCTGTTCGACTGGCCCCATCCTGCTCATCCCTAGCCCCGTTTCCTCTTCAGGCTCCAGGTGAGGTGGGGAAATGCCCTGATGATAGACCTTTTTTCTCCCTTTAGGTCTGAGTTACCTTTGGGGGAAAAAATTAGCTTAAGTCCTTGACTAGCAGGGCAGAGGTGGCAGGCTTTGTTTAGAAAGCCTGTTTTTTCCCTTTGTTTTCCCTTTCTATGACTTTCCCGACCTCTGTGCTGTCCTCTTTTCTCCAAAACAGTGCCTCAGCATTTGGTGATGACACACAACTCAGTCAGTTCATCACGGGCCTCTTTTTGCGGTTGTGAGGGTCTGGGCACAATGCCTGTTTCCCAAACTGGTGAGCAGAACCAGTTGTTCAGTATATGGTTTGATGGCAGCTCAGAATATTTGAAAATGGGTCCATGATGGAAAATTTGAGGGTTGCGGACACTGTGAGACCAGAGAGAACTCTAACTCTGCAGCTAGAGTTCTTGGTGCTGGCTGGCCAACCATCCTCAGAGCCCTCCCTGCCTCTTTTTCTGGCCAGAGTCCCAAATGGTTGATTCCCTGCTGAATTTCAGCTCGCCATGTAGTTACTGAGCATCTATACTAGGTCAGGCACCATGCTGCTCTGCACATCCGCATAGTAGGTACACACTGGGTTATGTTCTCGGAGCCCAGCCGAGGTCACTGGAGAAAGCGAGGACCAGGACTCTTCTGCCTCAGAATCTGGACAGAAGTTTAGTTGGCTGTGGGGCAGAGAAAGAGGTTCCAGTTTGGGGGGTTTTGGCTCCATCTCACCCCTGCCCTCTTGTTAGATCAGGCTGCTGTTTGGAAAGCTGTCTTCACCCTAACCCAGTTTTCCCACATGTTGTTCCGAGACTTCAGAGTCCCAGGCAACGCTTCCTTGGTCTAACCCACATCAGTTTTGCCTAATCCGAGCATCATCTGCGTAGTTGGCTGATGCCACTCATGACCAGTAAGTAGCCCTGCTTCTCTCTCAGCTGCTCCCCAAGGCCAGGGTGTTAAAATAAATCTGTTCCAGTGTGTGAGTCCCTTTGACAAACACGACTGGCCTGCTGAGCTCAAGCTTTATCCTGCTTCCAGAAGACCATCTGGAACAACTACTTATGGTGCTGTCTCACAGCCTGGCTGGACCCCTGTTGTGCCATAAAGGGTTGCTCTTTGAAGAGTAGCCTTCCTTAGCCTTGACTTTTCTGTGCTCCAAGGAGACCTTGGACCAGATGTCTGGGGTGAGACTCAAGAGGAGGAGCCTGTCTACCCAGGAGCACTGGAAATAAGGCACAGGCATGGTCCCTCTCTTGATGCTCCCAGTTCAGTTGGAGTGGCCAAAGCCCCCACCTGTGCACATGCCTGCCTGAAGAATACTCAAGGTCAGTGTGTAAGCGGCTTCAAACACAGGGTAACCTATTGTATTAGGTTCCTGGGGCTGATGTAAAAATTACCTCAAACTTAGTGGCTTAAAATGATGGCAGTTTATTGTCATAGTTCTGAAAGTCAAAAGTCTGAATTTCATTCCACTGGGCCAAGATCAAGGTGTTGGCTGGGTTATACTCTTCTTTGGAGGCTCTCTAGGAGACCCATTCGTTGCATCTTCCAGCTTCTGGTGGCTGCCAGCATTCTTTGGCTTGTGGCCACATCACTCCACTCTCTGCCTCCATGGTCACATCTTCTTCTGTGAGTCACATGGTCACATCTTCTGTGAGTGTCTCTGTTTCCCTCTTATAAGGACACTTTTAATGGCATTAGGGCCCACCAGGGTAAACATCCCGTCTCAAGAGCCTTAACTTAATTGCATCTGCAAACGCTTTCCCATATAAGGTAATAGTAACAGGTCCCAGGGATTAGGACCTGATTTCTTTGGGGGGCCATTTTCAATCTATCACACCTACTGATGTCGCCTACTACTTTGCCCCTTGCTCACTCTATCCCAGCCACACCGATCTCCTTATCGTTCACAAACCTGCCAGACTGGCTCCTGCTTCAGGACCTTTGCACTTGCTGTTCCCTCCATGTGGGTCACTGTCATCTGTGATATCTACGTGGCTCACTCCTCATCGCCTTCATGTTTTCATCAGATTCTCCCTTTTCACTGAGGACTTCCCTGACATTTAAAGTCATGTTCCCCAACCCAACATTCCTATCGTCTTTCTTTAAAAAAAAAAAAAAATTATTTACCTTTGGCCACACTGGGTCTTTGTTGCCGCTCACGGGCTTTCTCTAACTGTGGCGAGCGGGGGCGACTCTCTAGTTGTGAGGTTGCCCGGGCTTCTCATTGCAGTGGCTTTGACTTCTCTTGTTGTGGAGCACCGGGGCTCTAGGCAACAGGCTCAGCAGTTGTGGTGCACAGGTTTAGTTGCTCTGAGGCGTGTGGCATCTTCCCAGACCAGGGAATTGAACCCATGTTCCCTGCATTGGTAGGTGGATTTTTAACCACTAGAGCCCCAGGGCACTCCCTCCTATCTCCTGTCTTTGCTGTATTTTTCTCTTTTACCTATCACTGTTTAAACTGTGCCTCCAACTAGAATGTACACTCAAAGGGGATGAGAATTTTTGTCCTTTTGTGTGTTGTTATATTCCCCAGCACCTGGAATAGTACCTGATACACAGTTTGCATTCAGTAACTTTTTGTTGAATGCACATGTGATGTGTGCTCTGAATCCATGTGATCAGAGAAGATGCAGAGGGCGGCAGCAGGCCACGTGAGCTGGACAGTTAAGAAGGGCTCCCTGATGGCAAGGCTGGGAAGAGCTGGTAAAGCACGCTGTCTTAGTTGGGGACGCCAGGCTTAGAGGTCAAGGGATAAGGAAAGACAGAGGAGATGGAGCCACATTTGTCTGTATGACAGAGAGCCCAGGGTGGAGGGTAAGATGGTGATGTCTGTGGCGAGGGTGGGTGTTGAGGCAAAGCGATGGGTGATGGCCTTTAGTAGCACCGTTTACAGAGTAGGCAGTAGTTGCCAGGAGATGCTGCTGAGCAGACTGAGGTGCGGTGGACTGAGGGCTGAGAGAGGAGAGGATCCCAGCTGCCGTGAGTTTTCACATCCATTCTAGCCTCTAGCGCTGGCCTACACTTCTGCTTCCACCCCCTCACATACCTCAGAAGAAAGAGGCAGTTGACAAGTTTTCGAGAGATGTTAGTAGACCCGGGGGCAAGCCTGAAGGTGGCTGATTTCCCGCCTTCTCGCCACCCACCTGTGGGTGCAGCATCTTCCTAGAGGAGGAGAAGCGGGCAACACCTTAGCCTCTGTCACCCCTCCCCTGCAGCCTCTGCCATCTTTCCAGGGACAACAAGCTCGAATGGAGCTCAGCTCTGGTGAGCAGACCTAGTTATATATTGGTTTGGCTTGGAAACCTGGTAGGGAGGAACGTGTGTGCATCTGCCCAGCTCAGGGGCTATGGGAGAGGGGGCTTCTCCTCCCTCTTCAGTATATGCAGTGGTGGGGATTTTCTGAGGCTGTGTCCGCCAATACTCTGATGGGCATTTGGAAGCAGACCAGCTGCTTGGTTTCCCCTGTCAGAGCCAGCTCTACCTCCAGGCTTTGGGGTACAGCCTGAGGTCACCCTTCTGCGGAAGAAGGGACGGTAGGGCTGCATCTCTGGAGGGTCCCCCTTGTGGTGCTGGCCTCAGAGAAAGGAGTCGAGGCAGTCATCTCACCCTGGCTGTCTTACACGGCCCGGCAAAGGTCCTGATGGGTGGGCAGCTGGGAGAAGGAAGAGGCAGGGAGGCTCGGCCCCCTGTGGCCCGTCTCCTGCAGCTGTCGCGCAGGGCAGCCTGCTCCCACAGCCCCGCTCAGACTGCCCCCACTGAGCTGTTGCTTAACAGCTGTTGGGTGGTGAGTTGTTGGGCTTTTTCCCTCTTATCCTCCCCCTTTTCTGTTTGCAACAACCTCTCGGGGGAGGTCAGCGGATCTGTTGAAGGAGACAGTTCCCAGGCCCTCATGGTTTTGGCAGCTTGTGCAAAGAAGTTAGAGAGGAACTGGTTCCACTGGAGCCGCCCCCTTGGGCCCCTCCCTTGGAATGGAAGTAGGGATGCTGGCGGGGGAGATGGACCATGTCCTCCTCTGCCTCATGCTTACAGTCAACAGCTTCCCCCCTCCAGCGGGGCTCAGGAAGTGGGTCTACAGCTGCCCCTGCCTCCATCCTGGGTCCTCTGTCTTCCGCTCAGTGGGAGGAAGAATGGCGGGCTGAGGGCCTGGTTCTCACAGTGGCAGAGCAGGGCCTAGGAGAAGGAGCTGCGATAGAGCCAAGAGAGATCAGGCGTCTGGGTTGAGTTCAGAATTCTGGCTCTCCCCTTTGTGAAAATCCCTCCTGCCATGTACTCAGGGGGACGCTGGGGCCCCCAACACTCTATGGACAGGGAAACATCCCAGAACAAGCTTGAGGCACTACGCTGCAAGAAGTCCCCTGCTTCAGTCCAGGATGGAGAGCAGGGCATCTCTGTTGAGCTTTTCCCGCTCTTACCAATTAGTGACTCCTTAACGGGGTCTCGTCTGGTAACTTGTTTTCATTAGACTCACAGGAACCTGGGCCTGTACTGGGCTCTTAGATGGGGAAGGAATCGGGGATGCCAGCAGTTCCCTGAACTCAAGCTTGTTTAGACCTGGGTAGGATAGAGAGGGACAAAACTGGTCCTCATTGCTGGGGAGAAGCACCTGGACTTTCTGGGGCTCTAATCCATGTGCAAAAGTCTTAAGAGAGCAAAGCGCAGGTTGTCCTCATTGGCTTATCAGGGACAGTTTCCTGGAGGACGTGGGAAGAGGCAGTGCAGATGGAGAAGCCTGAAAGAGTAAGAGGGGCTGGCAGCATCCTGGGGGTTGAGATGAGAGAAGGTGAGAGAAGACCACCCAGAGCCACCACCTCTGTCCTGAAAATGGTGTGTCGCTTCCCCAGGGCTCATTTGAGGAGCTGAGCTGTCTCACTGGGTTTCTGTCCCTGCAGACCCCCCTATCCTGGCAAGAGCTTGAAGGCGAGCGGGCCATCTCCTGCACACACAAGCGCTCAGCATCCTGGGGCAGCACAGACCACCGGAAAGAGGTAACCGCCCTCTTTGACGCCAGGGAAGCTGCCTCTTGTCTCCTCCTAGCACCATCTGCTCCAAAGTGGACCCACATTTTCAGTCTCACCCGCCTTGATCTAGCCTCTTCCTGATGAGATGACGTCTTCGTAGCTGCCTCCCAGCCTCCTGGTGGCCTGGATTTATGAGCCCAGGCCCTCCTGTAGGCAGGGGCTTGGCCCGAACCTACTGCTGCCCTCCAACAGCCAAGCTCAGGGTGGGGGTGGCCATTGTTCCCACTTCACTTTGAGGTTGCATCCAAATAAGCAGTTCAGAGACCAGAGAGAGACAGAGAACAAGTTTTCTGGGACTTGGAAGCCTCCAACCTCACTACTTAGCCACTCATCCAGTCTTATTTTTAAAAGCAGAGAAAAAATAAATAAAAGCAGAGAAAACTAGTGAAAATAGTGATAGGTTCCCAAACACTCCTTCCTGGCCCGCCCTCCCTCTCATGAAGGCCCTTGGGATTTGAGGGTGAGGAGAGAAAAAGCCATAGACTGGATTCCAAGGCTCCCACCCCAGGAGGACCAGCTTGCCAGGGGTCACCGTTTACAGGGCAGTAGCTTCTGCCCTCTTGGCTGTAAGAACAGAAGGAGAATTGTTGTTGTTGAGTCGCTTAGTCACGTCTGACTCTCTGCCACCCCACGGACTGCAGCACGCCAGGTTTCCCTGTCCTGCATATTCTCCCAGTAGGAGAATATGAAATATTTAAGGCTAGTGAGAAATACAAAGTATTTGCAATTTGTAATTATCAGAATATTTACATTAAGGATCAGTAGGTCCAGAATCACAAAGTGACTGGGATAACTTTCGAAGTTGTTGATGATGCTCCATGATTGTTACTGGATGTGAAGTTGGGACAAAAGCTGATATTCCTTTTGGAGAAGCTGCTCCTTGATCAGCACAGTCTACTTTAAAATAGGGGCAGGGGAAAAAATAAAATAAAATAAAATAAAATGGGGGCAGGGGGAGCTCCCCTGGTGGTCCAGTGGTTAAGAATCCTCCTTTCAATGCAAGGGACACTGGTTCCATCCCTGATCCAGGAAGATCCCACATGCCCACAGAGCAACTTGGCCCGTGTGCCATACTGAGCCAGCCCTCTAGAGCCTGAGAGCTGCAGCTACTGAAGCCCATGTGTCTAGAGCCCGAGAGCTGCAGCTACTGAAGCCCATGTGTCTAGAGCCCATCTCCACAGCAAGATGAACCACTGCAACGAGAAACCCATGTGCTGCAGCAAAGAGTAGCCTCAGCTCAGGGGCCACAGCAAGAGAAAGGCCTCGAGCAGCAAGGAAGACCCACCACAGCCCCTGCCCCCAAAATAATAATCATAATAAAATAGGGGGAATTCCTTCTGTCCTTCCTGGTCCCAGGGCCTCTGAGATAGCTATGAATATACTTTGAGGAGTGAATGTAAAAACATCATTTCCCATTTTTATTAATAGAGTAGTTTTCCATGCCTTTGGAATCTGTGAAAGACAAAAATGGTTTCAGTGTTGTATATTTTTTATTTTTTCGAACCTGAGCCACCTGTGGAAAAACATGGTAATTCAAAACATCCAAAAGAAAAAAAAAAAAATCCAATAATCTGGTCAATATGGTGTCTAGCTTGCCTGGTGAGCATAGCATCACAGATTTGAACACCACTGAAGTATTTTGAGATGGAAGATTAACTTCCGTCTTCTTTTTATGTATTTTATGTATCCTGAGCTTTTGGCAGGAGCCACGCCTGAGAGAGAGGCTTCCCAGGTGTCACTAGTGGTAAAGCACCTGCCTGCCAGTGCAGGAAATGTAAGAGATGTGGGCTTTGATCCCTGGGTTGGGAAGATCCCCTGGAGGAGGGGATGGCAACCCACTCTAGTATTCTTGCCTGGAGAATGCCGTGGACAGAGGAGCCTGGCAGGCTCCTGGCAGGCCACAGTGCATGGGCTCGCACACAGTCAGACACTCCTGAAGCGACTTTGCACGCACACCTGGGAGGGAGGACCCCGTGCACCTTTGCTTTGCTTCACCTGCCCGTCCTCTCCCCTCTGCTGGCCGCCAGATTACCAAGTTGAAGCAACAGCTGCAGAGGACAAAGCTGAGCCGCAGTGGGAAAGAGAAGGAGCGGGGCTCCCCACTCCAAGGGGACCATGCTGTGCGGGGAACACTGAGGGTACGTCTGTCCCCCAGCCCTCTCCCCCCCATCCTCCGTGGTGGGCCCCCAGGCGCGGGTAGATCCTCCGAGCCCTTCCTTGCTACAGGGCCTGTGGCCGCATGAGTGCCGGGGAAAGTTCTGATGCAACATTGGAAAGGGCACATGCTGCATGTCTCTGTCCTCCATCCCCACCCCATGAACACTTGAGGCCGCAATGCAGACTCTAAAAGCACACTCTGGACCTCTGCCTTATAGAGAAAGCCCCACTGAATTGGTAACTGTCCCCAAACTCTCCTTTACTCACTTGGTTCTGCTGTGTAGACAAGACTGTTACCCGCTGGTCAGAACTGATACCTGGATGGGGTCTGGTGGGGTTCAGTGATGGCCTTATCTGCCTCCTCCTTAGGCGTCCCCTCCCAGCTTCCCCGCAGGGTCCCCTGTCCTGAGACTCAGCCCCTGCCTGCACCGGAGCCTGGAAGGGCTCAACCAAGAGCTGGAGGAGGTGTTTGTGAAGGACCAGGGTGAAGAGGAGCTGCTTCGGGTGAGTGGGGGCCACACCCTGGGTGCACAGACAGTCGCATCTTGCTGAGTCTGGACACGGGGAGGTGGGGCTCGTGCTGTCTGGGGGTGCACAGGCCGTGCACCTGTCAACAGAGCAGTGTGCCAACAGCACCCCATGGAAGGAGCACAAATGGAATTTATTAGACTCAAATGGACTTGACCACAAGAACAGCAGAGCTGGGTGGGTGAAGCTGGGAAGGCTTTGGGGCAGTGAGTAGAAAGAGAAGGAATAGGGGTTGGCAGAGAGGAGGGCCCCTGGCTGGGAGGAGCGGAATAGGCGTCACTCTTCAGCCAAAGCACCAGCTCAGTGCTCCTAGCACCCTTGTCACTGTCACCATCACCACCACCCAGCTGTGCCTGAGTTACCGCTTCCCTTTCCTCCATCACTACCTGGTCACACGGGTTCATCCTTCATGCCCAGATGCCTTTTGCAGCCTTCTCCCCCTCTCCACTCCCAGACGGATTATTTGCTCCCTTTTCTGCCGTCTCAGGCACATTTTTATACTGACACAGGACAATTGGGGAATGCCAGTTGGGCAGTATTAATATAATTCTAATGGGCACACTCCTCAGTTTATGATTTACTTGCTGGTTGATTTTTAATGTGCATATATGTAGGATTTTACACATGCATACAGATTGGTGAGCTGTTGATACAAGTACGATTGAATGTTAAAAAAGGGAGTGTGTATTTAATACATACTAACCTGCACATTTTTACTGCAGTGGCCTTACGGTGTCCTGCTGGCTTGCCCCTTTTCGTGCCCCCATGTGTTGTTCACCTTTGTGTTCCCAGAGCCTACACAGGAGGCTCCTGCCCTCGTGAGGCATACAGCCTAGTGGGAGCCACACATGGATGAAACCATAAAATGTGTAGTTATAACGTGCTGTCCATGAGGGAAAAGAACAAAGCGCCCTGATGGAGGTGGTTGGGAAAGTCAGGGAAGTGAAGAAATGGTGTCACCGTGTTGTGAATAAAGGACCAGGACAATGGCGAGGGGAGGATCCTGAGGGTCCCTGCAGCCCTGATGGCCTGACGGGACAGGCCTGAGAGTCCCCATCCCCACTCTTCCTCGGCAGATCCTTGAAATCCCTGACGGGCACCGCGCCCCAGCTCCCCCCCAGAGCGGCAGCTGTGATCACCCCCTCCTCCTCCTGGAGCCTGGAAACCTTGCCAGCTCTCCCTCCATGCCCCTGGCATCCCCCCAGCCTTCTGGCCAGACCAGCCGTGAGGAACACCGGGGTGCAGCTGAGGAGCTGGCGTCCGTCCCCAACGACAAAGGTAAGTTGGGGAGGCCAAGGCCGCGTGGCCCATGCTGGGTGTGGGGTCACCTCTGCACCCTTTGCCAACTCGTCGGCTTCTGGCCGGGCACTTTTACTTACTAACCAGCTAGAATATCTTCATTCTGTATGTTATATTGATCCTTGATATAGATTCTGATTTATAACTTATACGAAGCTTCTGCACTTACAGTTTTATTTAATTCTCACTTGTAATCCAGAGAAGCAGAATCCCTCCCACCTCCATTTTTTGGCTGAGATCCGGCCGTAGTGGAGAACCCATGAGCCCATCAAGTGTTGACTGCACCCATAACCAGGCACACATCTCAGGGCAGGTGTGAGCGCTACAGATAAAAGAATGACTCTTGCCCCTGGTCACACAGTCTGACCCAGATCAAAACCCAAGCTTTCTCACTCCAGACCTCCACTTTGTGCTTCCTCCGTGATTGCATCACTGAGAGGATAAGACACGAGTCCTCTTTCCTATATGAATGATCCTAACATGCAGGCACTGTTGCCTGCATCACCTGACTTGATCCTCATAGCAGCCCCATCAGGTAGGCCGGTCAAAGGCATGATCTGACAATACAGAGGTGAACAGAGCGTAGAATAATAATAAATGTGAGATAAACACAAGATAAAGTCAACATTTGAAACCTCGGCAAAGTACATTTGCTGTGTGGAAAATGAGAGGAATCTTATCCCACAAGTGGGGTGAGTAAAGATTGCTTGTCTGAGTCAGTAGAAGAGCTCTTCCTGGAAGAAGGGATAGATTTTCAAGACCGTGGAAAGGAAGAAGCTGTGGTATGTTGGCAGGCAGGGTGGTGCAGTCTTGGAAGAAGGCAGAGACACAGACATTAGGATTCTTTTCAATCTGAGACTTGGAGTTCCAATCGCAGTCTACCTCCGGGGCATATGGAATTGGTATTAGACCAGACTTTTCCCTCAATTCAACTGTATTTTTTTATCCTGTATAACAGAAGCTATAATTTTGTAAGCTGCCTCAAAGATGTTTTAAGGTAGAGCGTAGACAAACAATCTGGATGAACAGAACCTCTGGCACTCACAGTGCCATGTCTCCCAGTCCCACCCATTTACACCCAGGCCTGAGCCTGGGGAAGCTGAGACTTCCTTTGGGGCCACTCGACTCAGCCTCACTCTGTGTGCAGCTTCCTCTCCAGGCCACCCCACCTTCCTTGAAGAGGGCAGCCCATCTCCAGTTCTTGCTTTTGCCGCCTCCCCTCGGCCCAATCACAGCTATGTCTTCAAACGGGAGCCCCCAGAAGGCTGTGAGAGAGTACGGGTGTTTGAAGAGGCCACGTGAGTACCTCAGCCGGTTGGTGGGGGTCTGGGTGTGCGAGGGAGGGGGACAGAGTTTTGGCTGAGCCCTATGGTGTCCCACCAGATAGGCCCCTCTTCAGGCTCGGACTCCCTCTTGTCAGGAGACACTGTCAGCCATAGACAATCAGTACTGCAGTTTTTCCATGATCAAACTTGTTGACATTACCTCCTCTGAGCACCTAAATCTTTGCTTATCATGATCTCCATAGAAACCTGCTCTCTGCCCACATGCCAGCCACAAGCACAGCAGGAGCTGGAAAGGAAAGAGATCTGAAACTTAAACCCTTTGCTTCTATTTTTTTTCCATCCCCACGGAAGGTGTGAGAATTTGTTAGACCATAATGAGAGAGAGAGAACATATTAGTAATTCTCTTCAGGCAGAGTTTAGAAGTGCCTAATGCCCACTGGCACGGCCGGGGGAGCCTAAAGAGCTTTCATGCTGCTTCTGAGTCAAATCTTCACCCTGCAGCTGCAGTGGTTCAAGTGTCATGAACTCCCCGACAGAAATTTCCAGTCCTTGCAGGTAAGGACTATGGAATATTCCCAAACCAGCCTGGACAATTCAGAAGTCATTCTTAAATTGATTTTTTTACTACCGTTCCCTCCCATTAGCAGAGAGAATCCAGAGCCAAAGCTTTCCAAATGCTCATGGCCCTGCTTAGCAGGAACTGGGAAGAGAGCTCATCACATTCCTGCTACCACTATAATGTTCCTTGGGGCCATTTCACAGTGGAAGCTATGGTTTCGACAGCAGTCAGGAAGTTCAATTATGGTGTGTGAGTGGAGATTTAGCCAGGACAGGGCTTGGGGGCTTGATGGCTCTATCTGTATCCCAGATAAGGGACAGGATGACCCTTGGTAGTGGCAGGAGGTACATACATAACCCAGAGGGAGTTACGGGGAAAACCATGGGCACTGGGGCTTTGCTCACATCATCACTGTTGCCATTTCTCCTAGAATCCTCGGTCCTCTGGGGTGGGTGAGAGGGAAAAGGCCAGATCTTATAGCTGAAGTAGACTCTGGACCCTGTTTCCTTCCCCAGTGCACGGTATAGTTGAATGATTACAGACTGGAATTGCTCGTGACAATTAGGCTGCTGCTTAACTTTATTCTTTTATAGGCTCTTAAGGCCAGAAGAGGGTTAAAGCCATCTCATCCAGCTTCTTGCCCCTGTCTTAACTCTTTTAAGCGAGGTGGTGAGCCATCAGTTACTTTCTAAGATATCCTGTGACAGAAATTCTCAACTTGTTGGCGTCTCTTCATTGTATGAACTTTCCTACTGGGCAGTTCTTCTGTTTAGTCGTTCTTCTTTCATGTTTTCCTCATCCTGGCTGCCTAGCCAGTAAGAGAGCCTGGATTTCCCAGGGAGGGAATCAAGCTGTTCAGGGTCATGCTGGTTGTCATGTCCTTCGAGCGTTACTGGGTCTTCCCTCGGTCACCCTCCTCCTGTGTGCCTGCTTACATCGAGGGCATGCCCTCTCCTGCCCATCCCCGGCCTCTTCCTAAATGGGATTCTTATAAGTCCATCTCAGTCAGGGGACACCTTGCCACTGCAGAGTTCTCTAGGACCCCAGGCTTCCAAACACACCCCACACATGGGCCCTCCCTTCCTTCCACCTTTCCTCCCACCTCCCACACTGGGCCAACATCTGCCCTCCTCCACATGCCTTGCTCTTCTCCCTGGGTTTGGGATGGTTAGAATTAAAATTAAATGGTGCTACAATTAAAATGGTGATCAGTTTATCAAGCTGCGCACTGAGTGCATTTTTCTGTATGTATATGTTACACTTCAAGAAAAAGTTAGGCAATGGGAAGCTCTAGCACAGAGCTTGACTGTCTTCTCACATGTTTGTGTTCTTGCCTGGAATCCTCACAACCGGCAGCTTCTTGGGGCTCTTCACCCTTGAAGCATGGCCAGACATTCTTTCGGGGGAAAGAACCTTTTTTTTATCATAAGGATTCCTTACTCTAGAACTCTCTGACCTGACCTGTTTTAATCCTTCCATTTCCCCTACGTGATCGGCAGAGTAGGGATTCTTCCCACGTTAGGTGAGGCAGGTTAGGCCAAAGGCACGTGGTAAGTTAGAACCTAGATCTGCTGATAAGGTCTAGCTGCTGTCCTTTGCTTTCAGCAAGGGTTTTTGAAAATCATACCTTTTAAATCTTTTCAATCTGCTCAAGAATTAGATTCTTGAGGCCCAGAGATTTCAATGAGGGGTAGTTTTCCTCTGAGGGGACATCTGGCAACGTCAAGAGGCATTTTTGGTTGTCACAACATGGGGTAGTAGTGCTACCGGCATACAGTGGGTAGAGGCCAGGGATGCTGTCAAACATCCTACGATGCACAGGATAGTTCCCCACAGGCAAGAGTTACCCAGCTCCAAACGCCAATAATGGGGAGGCTGAGAATCTCAGCTTCAGGCTATAAAAAGTCTAAGAAAGTCACTTTGCTAGGATCTCTGTTTTCAGGCAAGAGGTCTGCCCCCAGAACCCTGTTCACTGATAAAAATCTCTCAAATTAAAAGGTCTCTCAGTCTCTTCTTCTAGAATCACAGTCAGGAAGTTCTCCTTCCTGTCTAGCTTTAATCCCTTCTGTTTTTAGCTAAAGTAGATTTCCGGTTGTTTAGCCCTGTTTCTAAAACATGGAGAGCTGAGGGGCCTAAACACTGGCTGTTGCTCAGTAGCCTGTCATTTTTTTGGTGAAGCTACCAACCTGCTGGAACAGAGACCCAGCTCCCCTGACACTGCGACGCCTCTCATCCCTTCTCACTGGCTGTTTGTGTTTCTGTCTCCATCCTCCAGGTCCCCAGGTCCTGACCTGGCCTTCCTGACTTCCTGTCCTGACAAGAACAAAGTCCATTTCAACCCAACCGGCTCGGCCTTCTGCCCCGTCAGCTTGATGAAGCCCCTCTTCCCCAGCATGGGCTTCATCTTCCGTAACTGCCCCTCAAGCCCGGGCTCCCCGCTTCCCCCTGCCAGCTCCAGGCCACCGCCTCGGAAGGATCCAGAGGCCTCCAAGGCCTCCTCACTGCCCTTTGAGCCGTGGCAGCGCACCCCACCATCAGAAGAGCCTGTGCTTTTCCAGAGCTCCCTGGTGGTCTGAGGGAGCTTTACCTCCACTTTACCATGGAGACCAGTGCCTTGGTGGCAGGACCCTCCTCCCTAGCTCCCCTGAGGTGGGGGATGAAGGAGCCCTTCCCTCTCGGCCTTTGAGCACTTTCATTTATTGTGTCAAAGCCCTGGGTCCTCTTTCTGATGAACACTGGCCCCTTCAAATGTGAGGGGACCTGCTTTGTCCACTAATAGCTGGGCAGCTCACAAGTCACACCTGTGTTCTTGCCACCTCTCTCACTTGGAGGAAAACTCACCCAGAAGGTCTTGGGTCCCCCACTTCTGGGTATGAGTCCAAAGGGCTGTGTACGGGACCCTTGTCTTTATCATGGAGTGAGCTGGCCATGGTTGAAGGAGAGGGGACACCACAGATTTCCTTCCCTCTCCTTCAGACATAGACAAGGAGACCCAAACAGATACCCCCATCCTCTCAGTCCCATCCGCATGCCACCCTCTCACTGGAGGAGCTGACCAAAGCAGCCTGAAAGGGCCATGACACTTGACCAATCCAGCTGCTGGCAGAGGGAGAACCAGGCGTTTTCCCAAGTGGCATTTTCATCTCTCTTTCACCCTAAGATTGTCTTAAGTAACAGCCCAGCCTGCCCAACCCCAGGTGGGTCATGGGGGAGAGGGAGAGCTGGCATTCCTCTGGGTGGCAAGTGGCGACTCTCCACCCTCCACCTGCCCCAGGACTGGGTTCGATTAGGAAAATGCCTATTTTTCTTGTATCGATGTAGAAACTCTATTTTCTCCCAAAGACACTATTTTTGCAGCTGTTTGAAGTTTGTATATTTTCCGTACTGCAGAGCTTACACAAAATTGAAGAATGTTAATGTTCAAGTTCTATTATCCTGTGTTTAGAAGGTTTTTTTTTTTTTTTTGGCAGATCTTGGTGTTAATAGACCAAATAAATAAGTATTCCCAGCAGCTAGAGTTTCTGTTAAATATTTTGGGGGTGAGGGAGCAGGATGGAGATTGAGGGTATCATTAATCACTTCATCCATGTTTTCAAGAGGCGCCTTTACTTAACACATAATGTTGGGATGATGGGTCCAAAGTCTGTGTCCTCAGGACAGCAGGCCTGCCTTCTCTACCTGGACACATAAACAGTGCAGCCAGGGAAGGGATATCCTGAATGAAGAGTGCGGTGGATGGAGGGTGAAGGAGTTAGTGGGAGAAGTCATCCTTTCTTGGGTGAGTCTGGAAAAACACACTAACGGAGAGTAGATTTTACCTGGGAAATGAGGGTGACCAAGGGGAAACAGTTTGGCAATTTACAAGACAAGGGAATGGCATTCAGATTGAATCTCTGGGCACAGTTTTAGGGAAGCTTTAGCTCCTTCTGAGTGTTCTTTTCACATGAGTGAGCACCCACAACACAGACGGTAGAAGAAACTGTTCTGGTCCTTTTGCAGCCTATCAGCTTTATAGTGCCCCACCTGTAAGAGCTTTGTGGGGGAAATGAGAATAACCAACCCACCATTCTATTAGTGATTTGCAGTTTACAAAGCATTTTCACAAAGACATTATCCCCATTGTATGGGTAAAAAGTTGACTACCTTAAGGGCAGTCATAATAACTACAATTGCATCTATCTCATAAAACCTCAAAACAAACCAGGCTATCCCAACTACCATGAATTAGCTAGGTAAGCAACAGATATACTGTAAAATGCTTTACTTAAAAGGTCATTGAAATATCATAAACCCTCTGATGTGATAAATCCCAGTGTACTAATGAGGGAAAAACAAATGGGGGAGCTAGGATTGGGAACCAGATCATTTGATTCCAGTGCCCATTCTTCTAACCACAGTACTCTCCCAGTTGTTATATTTCCATTAATTTCAACTGAGGAAACTTGACTCAGAGGTCAAATGAATTGTTTGAAGTCCCAGCTAGGAAAAAGGCAGAGCTGGGACTGGAACCCTAGCTCGGTGCCCTGGAATCATCAGCTAATTCAGTAGAGGAAGCCACTGGGTAAGAGAGCAAAAGTGTGGGGGTCCCCCTCCCCAATTAATACAAAGGAGACAGTTGGGGACAGACCCTACTTCTACTTCTTGCCCCTCCCCTGAAAGATGTTTGGCCTACCCCCAAAGTCTTAGTGAGTCAGGCCCAGAGGGATGGGTGTGGTGCTGCCCCGAGTTTCCTTCCTTTGCCTGAGGCCGTGCCAGAGAAGTAGGCTGCTGGAAGGGGAGAAGGAGCCTCTACCCAGAGAGCAGCCCAGAGTCCAGTGACTACCGTGGGGCTTGAGGCTGGTAGTGGCAAACCCTGGGGTTAGTCTGGCTTTAGCTCCTGGTGTCATCAGGTGGGGGCCCAATAGGAGTTCATTAATGCAGGAGGGTTTGCTCCATTGTTGGTGAGTTGTAAGACCCTGAAGAAAATCCACTTCAGCAAGCTTCCATTTCCATCTCCAGATATGAGGAAATAAGATCAGAGTTGAGAACGAGTCATGACTAATAAATACCTTAAACTTGCACAGCACACTTTTAAAGTTTATAAAACACTTTAACCAAACTCAGTTCATTTGATCCTCAACAGTCAAGAGGTGACAAAGTGGCTATTACTAATTCCTATGGACTATATATATAGATTAGGAAAATTGTAGCTCGGCATTTAGGTGACACGCACAGGTTACCCTGCCTTTAAGTGACCGAGCTGGGACAAGAGCCCTGCCGCCCTTGGGAGCCTTGTAATGTGCTCTAGGAGGAGGATGGCTCCCCAAAGACAGGCCTTGAACGCTCTTCTGATAAAGAGGGTAGAGTTGGGGACGCTGAGGATCCGCTAGGGGGCGCTACGGTTACATTGACAGTTTCCGTGAGTTAGGACCCAGCAGAAGCCTGACAGCCGACCGGGAAAAAGGCCGGAGTACTCCTCCTTCCCACCCACCTGTCTGTCTTTGCACAGAGTAGCCAATTGGTTACCTCCACATCCTCATACGTCATCATTCCACGTCCGCGTATCGCCTAGGCCATCCCGTCGCGCTCCGGGTCGAAGTTGTCCTCGGAGTTGCCTGATCGGAATGTCTCGAGGGCCAGGCGTTGCCCTCCATTCAGCTGGCTCCCCTGGCCATCAGGGACGAGGCCAGGGCCCCAGGGTGGGTCTCCTTTCCTTGGAAGCGGGTTCTGGGTTTTAAGGAGTTTTCCCCTCGGTGGTCCTGAGCTGGCAGTTCCGGCGGTGGATGCTGGGGCCCTCCTCAGCGGCGGTCTCATGCAGCTCCTATGAGGCCCCTGTCGCCGGTCGGCGATGTCCGGCTGGACTTGTCACCGCCGCCGCTGCCGGCTGTGAGCGGGTCTCCGGTTGGGTCCTCCGGGCGTCTCATGGCCGCTAGCAGCTCCCTGGTGCCCGACCGGCTGCGTCTGCCGCTCTGCTTCCTCGGCGTCTTTGTCTGCTATTTCTACTATGGGATCCTGCAGGAAAAGATGTGAGCGGATCCCCAGGGTGGGAACGCAGACCCCCACCACCGCACCACCACCCCCGCCCGCCCGCCCGCTCAATCCTGCCTTGTCTCCCAGCCTTTGGTCAGGTTCAGGCTCGCGGTCCTCCCGTTCCTAGCCCCAGTGTTCCCTTTGGCCCCTTCTGCTCTCCCAGCATCCTGACCCCTTTGCTGCTAAACCTCCCAAGGGTTATACAAAACGCCAAAGTTGGCTCCTAGATTCTCGGCAGGTGGTTATTTTTCTTCCTTTAATTGATGTTTTTCCTGTTGGTTCTAAAGGACTGGGTTTTGCAGACTTAGGTTTCCTGTGCTGGGCTGTCCTTGGAACTCCTATATTCTTGCAGGTTGCTGATTACTTCGCCCTCGGCCCTACCCCGGTGTACGTCGTTTCACCAAATTTTTCACGTTTCATTCAGCTCTATCCTGTACGGATATGTGTACACACACAATTTTTCACGTTTCCTTCAGCACTATCCTGTACGGATATGTGTGTACACACACAGTTTCATTCGGTTCTCTGATTAGCAGCCTGGAGTATCTAATTTCTAGCTCCAGTATTATTGGCTCCTGTTGTAAATGTGCCCGGTGATCCTTACCAAACTTTCCCTAAGTCTAGAGAAGCAAAACAATTTCAAAGCGTTCAGTGGCTCTGAATTACTAGAGGACCCTGAGGGAAGTATATTAATTCGTCTCTTTCTCGTCTATTTTATTCTTAGAACAAGAGGAAAGTATGGGGAGGGAGCCAAGCAGGAGACCTTCACTTTTGCCTTAACTTTGGTCTTCATCCAATGTGTGGTCAATGCTGTGTTTGCCAAGATCTGTGAGTACTTAGATAGTAATCTGTTGTGTGTCCCCTTCCCTATGTTTCCTAGGCATTAGGTCTAACTCTCAAGACCCTCAGCCCCTTTAGTGCTAACAACAGCCTCTCTATTAGACTTATAAAATTAGTGGCTTTGGAAAAAGGTGGACTTCTGTTTCCTTAAACTAAATCAGTTTCTCAGTCAGAAATGTGCAGAGAATGGATCTGTATTCTGGATCCCCATGAGAATATTTAAAACTTTTTTCTGTGTCTTTTTAGTTTTCCTTTTTGTGTCAGTTCTCTTTGTTCCCTGGGGGCTAGCAGCAGGGCTGACTAGTCCCTTGATCTGAATGAACGTCCACCCCCCTCACCCCCCACCACTGCCCTGCATGAGGTCTTGTGTTAGGTTTAGATGGTATTGGAGAGTTGGAGAATCTTCAGAGATTTCCCAATCTAAGAAGACAGAAATAGTTCTGTCTAAGTACTTCTCATCTTATTTGACAGATAAATTCCTTTCATGTGGCTTTGACTTTTGCTCAGTGGTCCATCCTAGGCCCACCAACTTTCTCTTGGATGTTTCTTTTGTCTTTTCCTAGTGATCCAGTTTTTTGACACTACCAGAGTGGATCGCACTCGGAGCTGGCTCTATGCTGCGTGCTCTGTCTCCTATCTGGGTGCTATGGTCTCCAGCAACTCGGCGCTACAGTTTGTCAACTACCCAACTCAGGTGAAACCTCAGGCTGGGGTGAGGGTTGGCTCAGAAGTTCCAAAGGATGAAAGATTCTTCCCTCAGGTCTGTGACTTAAATAAAAGGAAACTAAGAGTGTGAAGAACCACAGATCTGACATTTAGTGATTGTGGGTGGGCCGTGATAGAGCCGTTTTCTGAGGTCTCTGGTGCAGGCCCCACGCTAACTTACGCATCTTATGTAGCACCTCGTTCAGTACCTAGCATGTCAAAGACACTCAGAAATTATTTTTGCTCAATTTAATTTCAGGTCCTTGGTAAATCCTGCAAGCCCATCCCAGGTAAGCAGAAGAAGATGGTCGCTGTCGTCCATCCTCAGTCTTCCTGTAGTGAGCTTGATCCTCCTCTGCTAGGGCTGTGTTCCTCTGAGCTTTGTCATCTCACCATTGCTATCTGTAGGGACTTCCCTGCATCCCTTCCTCCTGCCCATCCTGTCATCTGGATCACTTCCTGTTGTGTTTGGAGTTCATTAGCTGGTAATCCTCACTGTGAGCTAGAAGCTGACCTCATCTGCTTCCCATGGTCAGTCGTTTTGGTGGCCTACATTGTCATTAGATACCCTAAATCCCATTTGATCATCAGTTTCCTTATTCTCAATTTCTCACTCTTCCCTACTGCCCCACCTTTGCCAGGTTCCTTCCTGGAGCCTTTGTTCTCTACCTTTCTCTGCTTTATATTCTTCGTTCAGTCTTGTTGCACAGTCATCTCTACGGAGGTGCTAGTCTTGCACTCTCCTCTTTTTGTCCTCTGTCAGCTCTCCTTCTCAGACATTCCTTTTTTCCCACGAGTCTTTGGCTCCTAGGGAATTATTGGTCTCAACAGTCTCTGTGGGTGCCTGAATTCTCCACCCTGTTTCTTCCCTGTAGTCATGCTCCTTGGAGTGACCCTCTTGAAGAAGAAGTACCCAATGGCCAAGTACCTGTGTGTGTTGCTAATTGTGGCTGGAGTGGCCCTTTTCATGTACAAACCCAAAAAAGTAGTCGGGATAGAAGAACACACAATTGGCTATGGAGAGCTGCTCCTGGTATGTAATCCTGTTGGGAAAGGAAGCCTTTTCCAGTAATCTTAACAGGAATATCCGGCCCCTGCACATACAGAAGGCCAGTTCTATGTGTTGAGAGAGATAAGTGATGTTTCTTGCCCCCCGTTTCTGGTCTCTGTCTCTTGCTGCAGGGTCCTTGGCTCTGCTAAGGCTGTAGTGGGGAGTCTAGAATATTTCACAACAGTTCAGCTCTCCTTCTGGGGAAGAGAGAACTCTGAGGCCCGTGTCTAAATGCTGATGTGAGGTCCCTGAGACCTGAGAGTAAAGAGGAAAGGAGTAGTATGTCTCTCACTGTGGTTTTCCAAGAAAGTTGGAAGTCAGAGTTAAAAATAATACTATATAGTCAGTTAAGCCAACCATGTTCTTTTCCCCATGGGGGCCCAGTGTGCAGTGGCTGCAAACAGCAGCCTCCTTGGTAGTGTATGCAGCCTGTTTCCTGTATAGATTGCCCTAAGGGACCTTGGAGATAACTCTGGCCAGTGGACATTCATGCCTGGCATGCTGTCCCCAATCTAGGCTCCAGACAGGTATGCGTGGTGCCTTTGGAAAGCCCACGGCGCAGTGGCCAGAGTCCACTTTGGCCAAGTTTTTTTTTTTTTTTTTTTTTTTTATCACAACCATAGTGTATCTTTTTTTTTTTTTTTTACATGTATTCCCCATCCCGGTCCACTTTGGCCAAGTTAAAATGTCTATTCACACCAAGCTGCAGAACAAGGGGCATATGATTGAGGCCCTCCACAGGGCCAAGTTCAAGTTCCTGGTCACCAGAAGATCCACATCGCCAAGAAGTAGGGATCTACTAAGTTTCATGCAGATGAATTTGAAACTGTAGTGGCAGAAAAGCGGCTCATCCCAGATGGCTGTAGGGTCAAATAAATCCCTAATCGTGGTCCTGTGGACAAATGGCGGGCCCTGCACCCATGAGGGTGCTGTCCCCTCCTTCCTCCTGCCCACCAATAAATCCTGCTTTCCTGTCAAAAATAATAATACTATAGTAGCTATTGCTTACTAGGTATTAGGTACTGTTCCAAGTGTTCTACATGAAAACTTGTTAATTTTTACAATAACTTTATAACTTAGATAGTATTAATCTCCATTATACAGATGAAGAAAATGAGGCAAAGAAATTTAAATTGTTTGCTCATGGCCATACGGCTGTTAATTGGCAGAGTTAGTGGCTAACATGGGCTTCCCAGGTGGCGCTGGGGTAAAGAACCCTCCTGCCAATGCAGGTTAGACCTAACAGACACAGGTTCGATCCCTGGGTTGGAAAGATCCCCTGGAATAGGAAATGGCAACCCACTCCAGTATTCTTGCCTGGGAAATCCCATGGACAGAGGAGCCTGGTGGGCTATAGTCCATGGGGTCCCAAGGAGTTGGACATGACTGAACAAATTATGTCCAATATTTCCCTGGATTCTAATCCGGCAATGTGACCACAGAATCCAGTCTCTGGAACACTGGACTCCCAAGCCAGGAGGCTAACATGCTGGGATTAGATTTCCTCTCTCCACCCTTAGTGGAAGAATGTGTGTGGCTCACCACAGCCTATTCTAGGCCCCTGCATGCCAGGCTTCACAGCATTGCGTTGAGAAGTGGTAGCCTTCCTGCCCTGTTTTGATCACATTACATCTGTGTGGCTCAGATCACCTGTCCTTCCAGGGCTGGGGGCTGGCGGGAGCTCACATGGTCTCTTGTCATCCTCTGCTTGTGGGCAAATGGCACTGTTTTGTTCTGAGGACTCTGTCTTAAGGCAGCGGCTTTCTGAGGGATCTCAGAAAAGTGAGAGGTCTGTGTCCTGAGTTAGGGAGGGCCCCAGGGGCCTTCTTACTGCAAGCTGTACTCTTTCTTTCCCAGCTCTTGTCTCTAACCCTGGATGGACTGACGGGTGTTTCCCAGGACCACATGCGAGCTCACTACCAAACAGGCTCCAACCACATGATGCTGAACATCAACCTTTGGTCGACATTGCTGCTGGGAGCTGGTAAGGAGTGGTTCTGCTGTTCTTTCCGTGTATCAGCAGAGGGCAGACTGCCTTCCTCCACTTAATCTCTAGCTCTGGTGTCAGCTGTGCTCTTTGCCCAGGCCAAAGGTCAGCCTCCGTTCCCAGATGCCTTATTGTCCAAGTCCTTGAGAAGCCTTCTTGGAGAAACTTTGACCAGGCAGCTCTGCTTGCTGCTTGTACTGGCACAATCAGGAATAGATCTGTGTGAGGTATCATGGGAAGACGCAGAGTAGTAAAATGCAGGGGTGCCCTGGGAACTCACCCTCCTCTGAGGTAGATGCGACATTGCTGTGTGGTGAATACTGAAGATTGTTTAAAGATGAATGTGTTTGCTTTTAAATCAGTGCTTTCTAACTTTTTTTTTCAAGTCTGGGCACACACAGGGAGTATTTTTCATACAACACACTAGGGTTAACAGAGGAGGCTGCTGATGGCTGGAATCGACCAGTGCTTGGGGCTGCCTTGAGCTAGGGATGTGTGGATCAGTATCTTCACAGCATCTGAGGTTTGCTTCTTTCCATCACTTTGGCAGAAGCAACTCATTAACTTCTAAGTATTTCCTAGCAGAGTCTTTAGTTAGTTTCTCTAATCAGAAAAATAGGAGATACTTGATGGGACAATAAAAACTCACGCTATACGTTTTCCCTCGCCCTCCCCTGCTTGAGAGCACTTACGCAGGCCTCTGCAGGTGTATGTGTGTGAGTATGGGCACACAGGATGCACCATTCATCTTTGGATGTTTCTTTCTAGGAATCCTGTTCACCGGGGAGCTCTGGGAGTTCTTAAGCTTTGCCGAAAGGTACCCTGCAGTCATCTATAACATCCTCCTCTTTGGCCTGACTAGTGCCCTGGGCCAGGTGAGTTCCTTGATGGGTGATGGCTTGGCTTCCCCAAGAGAGACTGGCCTGGCTGGGAGAAGAGGGTGGCAAGATCAGCTGTGATGTCCTGTTACAGACTTTTCTTGGTAGATACCCAGGAACCAGCCTGACTTTGCCTTTCTGTCTTTCTCTAGAGCTTCATCTTCATGACAGTTGTGTATTTTGGTCCTCTGACCTGCTCCATCATCACCACAACTCGAAAGTTCTTCACCATTTTGGCCTCTGTGATCCTCTTCGCCAACCCCATCAGCCCCATGCAGTGGGTGGGCACTGTGCTGGTGTTCTTGGGTAAGCTACAAGCTTGCAGCTCTAGGCCATACAAAGGAACTTTATTTTTTTTCCTTTAATACTTACTTGTATATTTGTGTAATGTGTTATTTTAGAGCAGACTTTTTTAAAAAAGAAAAGGAAGCGTTACCTGTAGTCCAGCCTTCCTAAGGAACATTTCATTTGAATGATTTCTTTCCAATGATTCTTTTTTCCCCAGACACTGAGCAGGGTAAAATTATTATACTTATTCCTTACTAATTGGCACTGCTGTGGGTGAGCTGAAAGAACTAGAAGTTTGACTCTTAAATTTCATTCAGTCTTGCTGGTTTTTTGTTTTTTTATTTTTGGCTGCACTATGGAGCACGCAGGATCTTAGTTCCCCCACTAGGGATTGAACCAATGCCCCCTGTAGTGGAAGCAAGGAGTCTTAACCACTGGACTGCCAGGAAAATCCCTGCTGTATTTTATATACACGTGTAATTTATCAGTATCTTGGTGATTTTTTTCATTTAATACTAATCTCTTTTCTCTGAGGAGGTTTTATAAAACTAATGTTTGAAAATTATAGTTTTATTTAAAGCTCCAATTTTGGAGACCAAGGCACACCCCACTTCTCACCCCCAAATAATTTGTAGACTTCATTTCTCCCCATAAAGTTAAGCCCATATTCTCTCTTTCCATAGGTCTCGGTCTTGATGCCAAGTTTGGGAAGGGAGCCAAGAAGACATCCCACTAGGAAGAGAGAGACTACCTCCACTCCAAGAATATTTAAGTTATTTTCTCCAACAGTGACATCTCTTGGGCAAACGGACACAATAGAGATAAAGGACTAGGTTTCAGTCTGGGTATTTTTTGTTTTTGTTGTTGTTGTTGTTTTTTAAAGAAGCAAAATCACATATTCTAAAAAAAAGCATTTGGATTTTAACAAGAGAGAGTTGGCCATTTCTGTGCTTGATGACCAGGAGCACAGCCTCGCACAAAAAAAGAGAGAAAGAGAAGAGGCAGAGCTTGGTGTTCATGACCCAAGCTGCTCCCACGTGGGTGTGGTTAACCTGGCTGGGGGGGCGGTTCCCCCAAGAACTGTTGCGCTTATGGCCTCTATTCCCGCAGGCGAAGGTCTAAATATGCTAGAAAAGGTAGCTGTGAGAGCTAGAGAATGTAAAAAGCACTTTATCTCTTAAAGCTCTGGTGGGCAAATATTTCTTAAAAAACTGCAGATATAGTCTCTCCTCAAGAAACTTCTCTTGAGGTTGAGATAAAATGAGCCCAGAGCCTCAGAGTCTGCTGCATTCTGACATTTCCCTGTTTCCTCCCGTTCAACCAAAGCTCAACCGAAACGAGAGCAGAGACCCAGTGTGCATGTCGTGAACAGCTTTGGAAGGTCTGATTCCCTCCCTCTACCTCCGTGTCTGTTCTTGGTCCTCTCGGTCCCGGCCTGGGGACACTGGATTAATCTTCCCTTGTCCCCTTCAGCTGCTGAAGCCTCGCTGGCCTCTGCCATCCTGGCGGTGCCCTGGTATTCCCATGCCAGCTCCTGCCTGTTGAAAGGGATGCTGGCGGAAGGCACAGTGGCTGAGTCCTGGCATAGAGCCGCTGTTGAGTTTTCTGGGTGGCAGTGGGGGGAGAAGGCGGAGCATGGAGCAGAGCCACCTGCCCACTGCTGCCTTCGGAGTTGGAAATCGCTATCCTCCGTGGACCAAACTTTACACATGAAAGTGCATTTCCACCAGCTGCAACTTTCACTCCATCTGTTCAGCAGCCCCAGCCCCTTGGCTCTCCAGATGGGCGCCCAGCCTCCTTCCTGCACCGCTGCCTTCCCACCCCCTGCACCCAGCCTTTCAAGCCTGGCTCACTTGCACTCGTCTCACTCTCTTGGGGCCCTGGGCGTCACTGCAGCTCTGCCCTGAAAGGCCCCCCTCTCATTTTGAACTCCTCCTTGAGAAGAGAGGTTTTAAATGCATCTGGCTGAACTTCCTTCTTTTCTCCACCCCTTTCTTTTTTCTGTGTTTCTCATCCTGAAATTTGCATCAATTAGCTCCTTATCTACTGGACTGATAGTTCTTCCAAACTCTCTTCTGTGGATTAGTTAGGCAGTGAGAGCATGTTACCAGGGCCAGGGTCCTATTTAGCAGTCCTTACCTGAGGCCTGGTGTTTTTTTGTTTTGGGTTTTTTAAAAATAATTATTTATTTATTTGGCTGTGCTAGATCTTAGCAGTGGCATACAGGATCTTTAGTTGCAGCATGCAGACTTTTAGTTGCAGCATGTGAGATCTAGTTCCCTGACCAGGATTCAAACCCAGGCCCTCTGCATTGGGAGCATGGAGTCTTAGCCATTGAACCATGAGGGAAGTCCCTGGGCCTGGTGTTTCAACAGGAGACATTTTCCCAGTTATCAGGCCAGTCCCCTCCACCTCTATCCCTGCCTTACCCAACCAGGGGTCTCAGGCAAACCTCATACTAGTCACAAAGAGCAAGAAGGATTTCCAGCAGCTCAGCATGGTTCTCACCTGATACTAGAGCGAGGTTGTCCTATCCTTGGTGAGCCAGGAGCCCAGTTCTGGTATATTCATTCAGTTCTTCTCCCATTCTAATCCTTCTGTGTGCCACATCCTGTGGACATGCTGGGAGTTCAAAGTTGACTAGGAGCAGTACTTACCCTCTAGGGCCTAACAGGGAGTCGGATAGATAAATCATTGCATCTCAGAAATGCAGAGCTAACAACGAAGAAAGGTGTCTGGGCAAGGTGAGGCTTGAGCTGGAGAGAGTGTGGGAAGATGAAAGAAGTGAAAAGGGAGCTTTGGCTCTATTGCCAAGTGGGAAATAGGGTTTTAAACTGCCTGGCATACTCTGGTTTCTCTTCAGATTGTATGAATCTTTTGCCTTTTAAACTGCCTGGCTTCTTCCCATGTTCCTGCTTCTTTTTGTCTTACAAACTTTTAATTTTATATAGTGGTATAGCCACTCAGTCACACATGTATCCAATTTCCCCCAAACCCCCCTCCCATCTGGGCTGTTAGCAAAATTCCATGAGCTATACAATAACATCAGTAGGGTTCCATGTTCTGTACAATAGGTCCTTGTTGTTTATCCATTTTAATACGGCGCTGTGATATGACCACATCAAACTCCCTAACTGTCCTTTTCCCCCTTGCTCCTGCTTCTGATCAGTTCACGTGAGAGCACAGGAGCAGGTGGGTGGCTCTGCAGTGTGGCAGCATTTCAGCTCAACTGGAAGATATTTTCAAATGTTGTGTAAGCTGCCAGCTTGTTCAGGGTGGTGTACTCACCTACAGGATCACAGGAACTGAGAGTGCCAAGTCAGACTCTCATCAGTAACACTCTGCTAGGTTATTATGGTACTGATAAACGTGAAATACCAGGCAAGTTCCAACAAAAGTATTGTTGATCACTAACCCTGGGCGGCCTGATGCTTCAGGTTTCTAAACATCAAAGGACTTTCATCTGCAGTTAATTCTCAGCTCTGTGCAGAAGGGAGGGAGCCAGCACACACATTTTCCCAAGCACTCTTTTTCATATAGGGTGTATTATACTTCTATTTTGGTCCACCTATCAGGCTTGCCTCTTTAGCTGTTTGTACTCAGGCTCGTGGTAGAGTGGTTTTTCCATTTCCTGTACACCTTAGTCTAGGGTAAGGGGAGTGACGCAAATGTGATTTGGGGGTAAAAACCATAGGGAAAGCTATTCTGGAATTAATCATCATAAGGGAGAAAAATTGTAAGTTATTTTTCAAATGACTTAAAGGGGCAGTGTGGATAATCTCTAAAGTGGGTTCTTTAGCATTAGGTGATGTGTTTCCTCAGCCCTGTAAACCCTTATAAAGAGGACTAAGCAGGCATTTGCATCTTTTGGAAATGGAAAAGCAAGTTAGGGAAGAGGGCAAGTTGCATTGGGTCCCTGGGTGTGTCCCAGGGAGATTAAGGAGAGCTCAAGTTTCCCCCAGTTATGGTTGCATCTTGGACCTGTGCCCTCAGAAGGGCAGAAGCCAACCTCCTCAGGAGACCCATTGCTTCTGCTGTCTGGTCCCACTTGATGGTGGAACAGTTTGCACATTTTATAAGTGGTGCTGGTCACTCTCCCCAGATGCCCTGGCAGAGAAATTGTCCTGGGTCTCTGCGGGATCATTCAACCCTTCCCACTGAAAACACACCAGCTGTCTTTAGGAACAGCAATCTCATATTTATTGAGCTCCTCCTTTCCCAAAGCTCTTCAATTCATGACATTTTATCCTTACAACACTCCTGGGGAGAGCTTAAGCCAGAAACAAGTCTCCCCATATCCAGGATAGAGAGCCCCAAATCCACTGAAGTGCATCAGCTGAGGGTCACATGACTCCATGGGAGGACAGGGCCCAAGTGAGCCTCCACTTAGCACATGTCAGAGGTCAATGAGCTAAATCGGTGGTTCCCAGCTTTTTGGATTTCCTGATCCAATAGTATTTTCAAATAATTTGGGAGGGGGTGTTGCTAATAGGTATACTGGTTTTTTAATATTTTCAAGTAAGGACAAAAAAAAATTTTTTTTAATGTCATATGGTTTACAGAAGGACACTTTTAAGTCCAGAAATTTTAGGAAGAGTATCCACCTCAGAATAAAGAATGCTTCCAGAAATGATAGTTGGAAATCATACCACTATATAGGTAATAAGGAAAATTGATTAATTTCAGAAAATGTTCAACATAAAACATCCCATGGCAATACATTGTAGGTGCATCATCATGACTGCTGGCCTGAAACACTCCGGTCTGTTTGGGGCTTGTATTCCATAATGCGGTCTATTGAAACTGAATGTCACAGAAGCATGCTGACAAAGATGGAAGCAACCTGCAATGAGGTTTTACATCATCTAGAACATTCTGAGAGAGTCTAAAAACAACATCCTCCCGACCTGAGCCACTTCTGCCTTCCTTCTGCAGGGCCAGGAAGAGAGCAGGCCATGGGTGCCAGAAGGCTTTCCACAAGGGCTGTGGGAGGGAGACAGACTTGTCACCTCGGCTCCAAGGTCTGCTGCTCCCAGGATGTTGGGGCAATGGTTTCCATCACCCAGCTCAGGAAGCTTGGAATTGATTCTTGAAGAATTTTCCCCCTATTGGTGAGAGCTGAATTCCAACAGGCACAATCCTCAGACTGGGAACCACAGGGCTATGCTTGCCATGGCAAGAAAGCGAGAAAGAAGAGCAAAGAGAGTCTCGGAATGAGGAGTGGTTTTGTCCAGTGCCTTCCACCTGAGGAGCAAGTTCATAAGGGCTGGTGGTTTTCTGTCCAGGTATAGCTGACTCCCTGCTATTTCTGAAGAGAAGTGGAAGAGGGAAAGTGGTTCAAGACATTCTCCAAGAGGAGGGACAGAATATTACTTCCTGCCCACTTGCCTGTTTTGTCATGGTGTGTGGGTGGCCAGAGCTAGTAGAAGCATCATGTTTCAGCTTAGGGTCTGACTAGACACCATTTCCTCCTACTTGCGACCCTGAAATTGCTGCATTCATACTGTAGCCCTAGAGAGAACATGTCACTCTTTCAGGAAGGCTGAGAACTCTCTGAAATTTTAATGTTAATATGTGTGTGTAAGACAAGTGATCACACATATGTCAAGTGAGTAGGTTGATTTTGCTGTAAAAAGGGCCCATATCTCTCTCATATTCTCGTAGGGTTCCACTGTAATCATGCTCTCATGTAATGAAAACTGATTTCCCAACTAGTTGGGCACCACTGCAGAATAT